AGGCCTGTTCACTGATATATATATATATATATATGTATTTATATATATATATATATATATATATATTTATATATATATATATATATATATATATATATATATATAATTGTGTATGTGGGGAGCAATCCATCTTTTAGACAAATTTCATTAACAACAACTGCCAAAAAGTACTACGATTAAAATTTTCATTCGTAGTACCTTGTGAGTCGTCTTTAATGAAACTTATATATATATATACCCAAGTATATGATTGGTGTATACGGAATGAATTCCAATAACCAACAATTACTATTCTTAAAAGAGTGCTCAATACAGAGTAGAGTAGATATAATTATTTATTTAAAAATTATAACATAAATATGTTATAAAATCACTACAAAATAGCCATTTTGTTTCATCGCCTTCTAAGACACAGGAGGTCTTATCAAAAATGGCTATTTTTGTAGTGATTTTATAACATATTTATGTTATAATTTTTAAATAAATAATGATATATATATATAAAAGATGTATTTACGCTGCAAGAATTCGCACAAACAAGTTTTATTAAATGCCATCGGCAAAATCTGCCTGTCTTCGATTTTTTATTGTTTTTCTAATTTTCGAATCAGGTGTTGTAAAATTGTTAAATAAACTGGGCAAAGTTCATATTTTTTTTTTTTGTTATATTCCTGTAATTCCGTCTATCACATTCATTGTTAAGTGTTGAGGTTTTACAGTATGGTAAGCAAGAAGCATTTGACTAAATTCCAGCATTTTTAGATTGCCGGAATTAGAATTTAAGTCAGTTGAAAATGACGTCATCTACCATGGTCAAACGATATAAGGATTGTTTATACGTGCAGCTTTTATACACATTTCAATATATATATATATATATATATATATATATATATATATATATATATATATATATATATATATATATATATATATATATATATATATATATATATATAAACAGAGAGAGAGAGAGAAAGAGAAGGGAGGAGAGAGATCGTCTTTCTCAATCAGAGAAGAAATCGAGTTAATTCTTCATCTTTTCATCCTAAGTAAAACATGTTCGAACGAGTCTGCTTTTCCACAGCCCTACCTGTTCAGTTGAATATCGATTACTTCATCAGCCAGCTCGTCATCACCAACCTTGCCCAATTCCCTTTCCTCTGTCTTTTCCACCCACTCAAACAATTTATTCCATTTATAAGCGCCATTTATTCCCTCTGCCATCCCAGTCCTTCCGCAACATCCTCTACCATTTCTTTTACCGTTTTTCTTTTCTTTCTTCGCCTTTCTTTTCATTATTATTATTATTATTATTATTATTATTATTATTATTATTATTATTATTAATGTTGTTGTTGCCAGGAAGATTTATTTTAACATCGATGTTGTCATCACGACCAGCAAAGCAGAAAAAAAATTATTAGTCTTATTTTCCTTAACTATCTTCATCTGCTTTTTTGTATTTTTAATTTTGTCTGTATTTCTTTCTTTCTTTCTTTCTTTCTTTCTTTCTTTCTTTCTTTCTACTTCGTCGTCTACTTCTTTGTATTTTTTGTATTTTTCTGTCTTATTTCTTCTTCTTTTACAGTCTTCGTCTTCGTCTGCTTCTTTATTTTATTTCTTTTCGTCTTCTTCTTTGTTTTCATTTGCCCTTTTGATTCTTTCGCATCTTATCACCTGTCAACCCGTCTGTGTCTGGATTTCCGCCTTTTTCTCAAATAGTGCGAAGTTTTATGATTTAAGATTTTTTTTTTACGTAAAACACAGGCGGTTTCACTATACACAGGTAATTTATTTTTTTTTTTTTTTTGAAGAAGTTAAAAATCATGCATTTTAGCGACTAGTTTTACTATACACTAGATTAAAAACTGCGTTTAGGTTCAAAATCGTTGTGTTGTTAGTTCATTCCAATGAAAGCCTTATATAGCACGGCCTTATAAAATGTATAATTTTCTGAAGCTTTACAAATTGTATATAGACAAGATGCATGACACAAACACATTTATAACTAAATCATTGTGTCATCAACTAAGACCTTCATTTACTTCAAAAGGAAATTACACTGAACAATGAGGCTATATTATGATGTAATATGTCGTACAGTGCAGTAGTTTTAGTGTCATTTTTAATAAACAAAGCACAGTTCATCATATAATTTGTACCCAGGAGTATTATAGTGTTACATACGCTTTTATCTATTGTTTGTTTTTATTAATTATGATCTAACAAATGATTTAATAAATGATCTGACACATCTTATTCAATGAGTAGCCATTTTTGTAATCTTTTACAATTTTTACAGTTTTTACTTATTGAATCTGTATTCAATAAGTATAAAAAATAAGTAAAAGACTGTATATATTTTGCTTGTGGTGATTCATAATTAGAATTCTGGTTTTAATATATTTTCCATTCAGTGTATCTAAAACAAAAATATCAACTTTATTTAGATTTATTCTTGAGATAGTAACATTTTGAAGTCAGTTTGTAAGCAAAAATTAAGTATTTCTTCTGTACATTTTTTTTTCAGATGATCTTTAAACCTAAATGCTCAAAAATAGGTAAGAGGTATGAATCTAGTTTTTGGTGGCAGTACTTAGCACATCAACTCCCAGCTTTCACATCGAGTGTCATGACAAGTTTCTATAAGAAGCGAAAAATCAACCTGCCCTACTATACACATGTATTTTTTAATGGAGAGGTTAAAAGTTCATACATTTTCATTGACCGTACCCTCATTGACCGTACCCTCATTGACCGTACCCTACCTGGTAGGCCTACATTCTCACGGTACATTTGGTTAACCGTAACGGTACAGGTAAACACTTTTAGCCTACCCCGTCGCTCCGTAGCCTAGATTCTTTATTTCTATTGCTACATGAACAGCAGAACATCATGCTCAGAAGCTGGGGTCGCATTATATACAAAGTAGACTTATACACGAGTATATACGGTAATATAAAACAAAAATATCTCTATTCTCTATGAATTAAAATATTACTTGCTATCACATGATCTCTAACGCCCCCACGCAAGGAAAACAGCACAAGACGAAATTGTGAATGCAATAAACCGGCTCAAAAGTAATTAAAAAACGGCTTGACAAAGTAGGATCAGCAATACACCAAGAACTGTGCAACATTCGAGCGTTCGCTTATGCAAACAAACGGTGTCAGCATAAACCAGAGATTTTCTCAGGAAATAAGATGAATATGATATTCTTCACATCTTCAAATTTGGTGGCATCTTCCCTCGACGAACTACTAGCATTCTATTAAAAGTGGTGGTGCTAGGGTCAATTCCTTAAGCCTTAGCCATTCCAAAATGAAAACGTCGAGGTAACTGGATAATTTTTATCCATTAGTCTTATACACATGACGATCTCTATCTTTAAATTTGGCCTTGTGCCACTCACAGATAAATTCCAAGATATTCTTGGTAAGGACCGCGTTCCTCTCCTGTTGCACTAAAATAAGGGGCATTGAAGTGTGGTTGTCAACCCTTGAGTTCTAAGGCGCGTCCCAATGGGTAAAGCTACAAAAAAACTGAGCAGTTTTTTTTTGGTCTCCAATTCTATGTGCATGTGAATTTCCCATTTTAAACACGACTTTCTTTCATATCCCGTCTCAGTTGGCGTGCTGATAAATACCTATGCTGGGGCTGTGGGGAGAGTCTCCGTCTAGCCAAGGCGAACTGGATCTGATAATCGCAATGAGGACCTGTCAGTTAACCTCAAATTAAAGACAAAAGTATGTAAAAAATTAAAAAAAATATATTTTGAGCATGTCAGTAAAACTGAGAAAAATGGGCTGTGCCCATAGTGATAGGCGCACTTGGAACTGTGAAAAAAAAGAAAAAAAAAGAAGCAATACTAGACTCGAGATTAGAATATATAAAGTTCCTAGAAAGAATTAGAAATTTCCTGGTCACAGTGATGCTGGAATCGGAGATGATACTGAGAAAGGTGCTGGAGACTCGCTGCCACAGAATCTCCTGCGAAAAACAGCAGGCATCTGGCGTGAGCATGCAGATGCTTGAAATAATAATAATAATAATAATAATAATAATAATTTGCCTACTAATTGATATGACTTGTCCAGCGAACTGTAACATAACAACCAAGGAATTTGAAAAAGTATCGAAGTATAAAGACCTGGAAATCGATATAGAAAAAATGTGGAAATTGAAAACAAGAATAGTACTAGTCATAGTAGGTGCGCTTGGAATGATAAAAAAAGGAACACAACAACACATTGAAAAAATACCTGGAAATCCCAACTTAAGAGAAATACAAAAAAAAATGTCTTGATAAGTACAGCACACTAAGAACTTTCTCTATGTAACGCTAGTAGATGTTATGGGAGTTAGAAAAACAAATCATGAAATGTAGCCATAACAACACACCACTACCTGCCTTATGGTCTTCCCACAGACTTGGTAGGTCGTGTGTCCATAGCAGAAATCAAAATTGAGAGAAACACCTCCATAAAAATTATCGAGAAATTGTCCAAATACAAAAACCTAGAGATCGAGATTAACAAGATGTGGGGAATGAAAACTGAGACTGTACCAATAATAATCGGAGCTGTGGGCCTCGTGAGAAAAGGAATGGACAATTTTACTAACAATATCCCAGGTAACAGCAACATAAAAGTTGCCCAGAAAATCACTCTACTAGGAACATTCCATATACTAAGAAAAGTGCTCTCAATTAAATGACAATTCCTTTATAGGTCCTAAGGACCATAGTTTGGACCCAGCTCTACAAGATACAAAGCAGGAAATATAACACACACACAATAATAATAATAATAATAATAATAATAATAATCTAGCTAAGCTGCGAGTAGGAGATGAGATATGACTATTATTACACAGCAGAAACATTTAAGAATAGGAGAGGATATCAAATAATAATAATAATAATAATAAAGAATATAACACTAATAAATTTGATGAAAATGATGCATAGATTAAGAACATTCTCGCAAATATGACATTGAAACAGCGGTTCTCGTACGATCACCGAAGTTAAGCAACGTCGAGCCTGGTCAGTTCCTACATGAATGACCGCTTGGGAATACCAGGTGCTGTAAGCTCGTATGTGCGGGTGGTGTAATTGATAATGGGTCAGAATTGGAAACCGGAGAGCCGAGTTCCAGTTCCAGCTAGATTTGTTATATTCACTTACGTACAAATATCCTAGGGGAAGGCATGAATCCACCACTTCTCTCTACCAGCTGCAGTTAAATTAGTATAACTTGTATCAGTAAATCATTATTATCTCTAAAATATTTTTACAATCTAAAAAATTATGGCTTTAAATAACCTGCAAAATGTTGATAAGTCGTAAAAAATACAACTCTGTCAATCTCACTATTTGAGAGACAAAAGACTGTAGTCATTAGAAAAATTCTCTCAATGTAATCGGCTCAATAATTTCCTAAAACCTTCCTTAGTTTTTCTTTTCTTCTTTAGATTTTATTTTTAGCTCAACATCTTTCCTCATCTTCATAGCTTACATTTTTTATTTTTTATTTTTTATTTCTAATTCACACTCTTTCTTTCTTTCTTTCTTTCTTTCTTTCTTTCTTTCTTTCTTTAACTAAATCCCTACGATTTGATTTCTTAAAATTCATTGGTCCATGAAAAAAAAAAAAAAAAAGGTTTATATCTAGAACTTTCTGGAAGCAGCCAAGTGAAAAGACTTTCTTGGCTGACCTTCCGTCTGATCCTTGCATCTTCTACGGCCTTCCTTCCATTTTTCTTTTCGTTTTTATTTTATTTAACAGATTCTTTTTAACTTGGTTGCCTTGTTGGCTCGTTGCCATGGTTACGATCAGCTTTGAATGGCTGCATTATTCGTCAACATCAAGCACACTTACACAGACAACAATTTTTTTCTTATTTAGCTCGAGAACGCACGTACGCACACACCCATGCACGCATGCACACACACACACATGCATATATGCAATAAATATTTCATTAAAGAACTCAGGTATCCACGCATCAAATTCAATTCACTAGTTTCACGATACTACAATGAAGATAGGAGACACGAGGGAATGGAAAGTAAAAGAAAATTCAGCTATATAGTAAAGTTAAAGCGAAAGTATAGCTGAGAACAGTAAAAGACAGGAAGCTGTGGAGAGTCATAATCTCTCTGAAGTGATGTAGCACATACAGGAAACGTTGGCTATACGTTTATTTTATTATTATTGATTAAAAAAAAGAAAACAAAAAACGATTGTGTCTGAGTGAAATAGAAAAAATGGTCATCATTCAGCTATACAGTAAAAGAGAAAGTATAGCTGAGAACAGCAATAGACAGAAAGCTGTGGAGAGTCATAATCAATTAAAAAAACAAAAAACGATTGTGCCTGAGTGAAATGGAAAAACATGTCAGTTTCAATTATTTCTCCTTGTATTTCTTTATTTATTTAAATACTGACCTGCATTCATAGATATGGGAATTTTTAAGTGATCCCACGTCCCTACTGAATGTGAAACAAGGTCATTTTAAAGTGGGTTTAACGGCAATACCGTGGAAAAATTACCCAAGCTTTCATACTTATGATTATTATTGTAATATTAGGTTAAAGCTGTTTAGCTGTAATATTTAACGATGCAATAGAGTAATTTACGCGGCTATTTTGTAGTCGCAGATATCTTATTCAATCGTTAATAATTGTAATTCATCAGAAAATTAAAATAGGAAAGCCGTGAAATTTTCACAGGTACCGCCAGTTCTATTTCATTAACGTACATCATGTTATCAAAGCACAAATCTATTTTTTCTTCTTTCTACTTGGATCTTTGAGCTTTTTTAAATGAACGTCTCCATCAGAGACATACCAGAGACGCTGTTTGCTTCAGTGAGAGAGAGAGAGAGAGAGAGAGAGAGAGAGAGAGAGAGAGAGAGAATAGGTGATAATGCCCTCATGCGTTTAACGTATGCTCCAATGAAATGAAAAAAAATGTCAGTTTTAAGCTGTTTAGCTGAAATATTTAACAATGCAATAGGGTAATTTACACGGGTAGAACTGTGGAAATCCTAATGAGCTTATTTATTCATTAAATATTATATTTTCATAGGTGCAATGACAAAAGTATGCTGGTGTAGGTTTTAAGAAAATTTTATTCAACTGAGAATACAAGGCTCGCGTATAGTGTTCTTTTATAGTCCCAGTAAACAGAAATAGCTCTCTTAAAGAGGAGAGTAACAGAACAAGGGGAGACCACTCTTGATTATTCATAACAAGCGGTACGACTAGTATTTATTATTCGTAATAAATCTGGCCCAAAGCAACAACACACGGGAAGCTGTGGCGATTGAACTCACCACTTGAGCGACGAACTAGTCAGGTTAATTCAAAAACATGTGCTCCATTTTATGGTCTTTATAAAAGTATTATGAGAACGAAATTAATAGCGAAATTGAGTATCATTTGAACAACCCTCGTTAACGTTGTTTAGGAGGGAAGATATGAAAGTGATCCCGTTAATCATTCAGTGAACCCATTGGATGGAGTATATACACAGACTATCAAGTCGCATGGAAACAAGTAAAAGTTCAGAGTTAAGGAGATGCGCTTGGTTGTAAGCGCGACTTTTAAAAAGAATATGTACAGGAACTGATATTGTATTGCGGAGATTACCCCCACCTTATCTGCCAGGACACCGCTAGGTAGCGCAGTTCAAGACTACAAAAGGAAAAACATACACACACTCTCTCTCTCTTCCTCTTTTTGCTTGAGAATGCAGTAGGTAAAGCGTCATCTTGCCAGATCCTTCCTCTCCAACAATCTCTGGAAAAACATCCTCTACCCCGCATCCTCCTCCTCCCCGCAAGAATAGTGTTAGGCAATCTCTAACAAAATCCTAAAACTTGAAATCCCTCGAAAATGAGAAGGTACCCAAAGGATTTTGAACAGAAGAGATATCGAAGTTAGCTGCAATGATCAAGGGAGATAACCGCGGATTTGAAGTCAGGTCGACTGCTAAATTTTCCTACCCACCCTCATGACGCACTCTCTCTCCCCTCCCCCTCTCTCTCACACACACATACACAGAATTTCATTAACCCCATAAATATTTTTTCCTTATTTTCCCCCAGAGTTGTACACATAAAACAACATATACTTTCTCTCCTTTTGTGATGTTCTTTATGTAAAAATCTAAAATATTCTCCAAGTGTTAAAATGATTTGCTTTGAAAGTCCTCAAGCGCATTCGTCTGCAACAGCTGGTAACACCATTCTCTACAGTTGACACTTTTGAACTTAAAAATGCAGAATAAAGTCACCGCGACTACACTTCGCGCGCATACAAAATATAAGATGAAAATGAAATGGGTACATTTCATTATTTTTATTTTAAAATGGCTTCATTTTATTGATTATTTTAATTATGGCAGCAAGCACACCTTGAAATTCTTTTCTGAATAAATATTCACAAATATTCTCCGACTGACGAGGGGGTTCTGTATGTGGCTTTTTTCTTTAAAAACAAACTTTTTGGATGGAGCAAATTTTCTTTATGGGTAATGACTTCATGTTTAATTGATCTTAAATAACAAAGGATAAGAATGCAGAATAAGCACCCCCCCACCTTGCGATGAGAACTTAAGCATTTTTATCCTTTTGACGATAATTCATTTAAAAATGTATGCATTCTTGAGCCAACAATATTTTGTTTAACTGCGCCAGGAAAATAAATTATTTAAAAATGAATGCATTCATATGGCCGAAAAATATCTTCTTAAAGTTGCACTCCAAAGGGAAACTGTGGCGATTGGATTCACTACATATTCAATGACCTAGCCAGATGAACGACGAGGTAAATGTATTTTTAGATGTAGTATCTGTCATTTCCCATGACTTTAAGTGTATTTATTTTGAAACAGTACAAGCAATCTGAAATTGTAAGCTACAGTTACCATATGTGGGATTACCCAACTAATCTGCCAATAGACTTCACTTAATGACACTAGGTGGCATGCCAATCAGCAATAAAAAAGAAAGAAAAGGACGCTCTCTTTCTATTTTTTAGGGTGAGGTTTCTCAGTCTCCCTCAGGGAGACATTACTTAATTTCACCATGTGGTGTACTCACATACATGCGCACAGAATCTACCGATAATCCCATAAATGCTTATCTTTCTTTTTTTATGAGCTATGTTTATCTGTCTACACGCAAGTATATATGTTTTCATTTTTGTAGGCCATGTTTTTATTAGAGAAGTTGTGGAACAAAAAAAGCAATTTCCTTGTAAATTTGAATTTCTTTGCCAGGAAGCTTACACTGATTTTAGGTAAATATGTTGTTATTATTGCCATGAAACACAGCCCTTTTTATTGTAGGGTATTAACACAGATTCGTTTGATGATTGTTTCAGAAATTTTCAATGACTTGGCTTTTATCACAGACGGCAGGGCCTAAGGCTAAAAAGGGAGGGACAATGCAGATGATATAATATAATTTTTATGCCAACTGCCACTGCGTTAGTTCCTTGAATAAAGTGTTCTTTTAATTTAAAAATCTACCATGTTGCAAAGAACTCAACAATATCAAAATATATAAACGTTTTATGTGGTAAATTTCCTTAATAATTGATGACAGACATTCAATAAATCAATTATCGGAAACGTTTAAGATTTTTACTTTTATATTTATAAAGTTATTGTTATTATAATTTTTCTAGAATGATCCTATGAGAATGTTTCGTAAATTTAAGATGAAAAAGTTCATGCTACATATTTTTTGATAATCTTACATTCCGGAAAAAAGAGAAAAAACTATGTTGACAACTTGACATTATTTTATTATCAATTTAAAATATTTATACAATTAACTTGATAATACAAGGGAGATTACTGTAATATTTTGAATTAAGAGTTAACTCCCTTGAGTAATCAAATCGTCAGTGCAAAGTACTTGTTTTTAAGAACACACACCATATTAAAATCATATTAAATAATTACTTTATGACAAAACAACGCAAAAAATTAATCATGATGATTTCAAATGTTGAAAAGTTTAGGAATAGAGAGATTAAAAGATATTGAAGCCGTAAATGTTCAAAAAGTTTTGAAGG